CCAATGAATATTGAATAAGATGAAATTACCAAGCATCCAGCCACAAATATACAATCTCATTGAAGCTCCAGGGATTTTACAAGACAGAAGTTAAAGGCCTACAAGTCTTTGGATGCTAACAATGTTTTTCATGTGCAAGAAATAATGTTCCATGATTACCAGATTCAACGTAGTGCTAAAAACAGAGGTTCTGCCTAGCCTAAGACAAGTAAAGAAGATGGGACTATACAAGGCCGGGGTAATCATCAACAAGCACAACAACTGCATTCTGACAGCGAACTGCGCCTGTACGGCAGGATATGTGAACTTACACTTTTCATTTCACTCTAATAATTCAGTGTCCGCAGTTTATTTTCCGCAGCATTTTTTCACAGTTTTTACTGAAATCATTGCTGCAATCAAAAACAAGTGATGTTTATGATTCAGCGTAGAATGAACTTACCTTATATAATATGAGACCTGCAGTGTCGAGCATTTTTAAGCAGGTCCTCACTCCATTCAGCTCTTCTGATGGCTGTTAGCCAAAGACATCTGCGATTGGCATCAAAAGCAGTGTGGTGTATGGTAAAATTTACGTTTTCTATTTATTTATTATTATTATTTTTTCGAATTTGGCATCCTACCGCAGAAACATGACATGTTTGCTACTGCAACTGGTCTTTTTTTGCAACCGGTATGCGCAGTTGAACCCGTGTGACGTAGGTTAGTAATTCCCCTATACCAGTGGTTCTCAAACTGTAGTACGTGTACCACCAGTGGTAGGCGGACTTCCTTCTAGTGGTACACGGAGGAATGAAATATTTCATGTACATGCTACATATATTTCAAAATTTATCAAAAATGATGTTTAAAATATGACATATAGCCTATATTTCTGAGGTAATCTGCCACGTTTCTTTTTAACTGTGCAGAGTTGTAGCTGCTTTACTAGACCTACTACACTACTGTATTTCAATACTGCACATTTTGGTGGTACTTGGAGAGACCATTTTTTTCTGAGGTGGTAGTTGATGAAAAAAGTTTGAGAATCCACTTCCCTATACAATTCTAATTTCATGTCATTCATCACAATGAATCAGTTGTACTCTATTACCTCTGTTACATGTGCCACATGTTTCGAGATTTATTTCATCTGTCCATATCAAAGCTGATAAACTATTTGGGATAATATATGGCCGACACACAAGTATTCAAAAATCTGGACTGTATACACTAAAGCAAAGGAATAGGTGAATTATAACTAGCTCAGCTAACAGCACGGTTCCACGCTGAATATGTTTTTGAACACCGGAATGGATTTAACCTTTCAAAACTGGGCTGTTGGATTCTGATTGGCTGATGAACAGTCTAAAGTGTGAAGTTATTTTCAGATAACCCACTGCTCGAGTAGTTCCAGGTAAGTCTTGAACGTATTACAGTTCTATGCCATTACAGACTGAATGATTTGTTAAAGATTTACCACAGTCAATTATCGAAACGCAAAGCTTTCAATGAGATGCGAAAACTAATACTACACACAGGATATGTTTGAGGAGAAATGCTCTAAAATAAAACTGAAGAGCATCTTCGTGTTTGGTGGTAACTGTAGCAGAATAATTGGTTCTGCTCTATAGAATTATTAGAAAACAATGTACACCAAGATGTATGACCATGACTGAAAACACTTTTGACGACATATGCTAAAAATGTTTATTCTGTTATGTCATGTCCACCATATGAAAATCTACATCGTAATAGTGTTGGAAAAGTAAATAGGTAGGCTATAGGCTATATTAAAAATGTATGTCTTAACTTGCAGCAATAATTGACCTCAGAAGTTGTCAAGCCATGTACTTTCAATAGTAGTAACACATAATAGCTAATGATAAATGAATGCAGATTATGACTGAGTGTTCTATTACTGTAAATCTAAGCAGGGCGTTTGGTGAGTTCCTTCACTCGGTGTTTTGTTCACTTTGCAATTCCCATTTTGACAAATATAAGCCTTGAATTTATGAGCGAAGAAATCAAAGTTGATCCTTAAAGTATGTTTTGACATCTACTATAACACACGTTTGTAAAGCGGCTTGTGGAAAACTGAAAGATTGCGTAAGACACCAAAAAAACAAACAATAGACCTTTGGCATGAAGATTACTCAAGTCTCACATCGGCGTAGACCACACTGCCTTTTAATTTCCTTCTTTTAACAATAGCTTGGGAAAAAAAAGGTAAAACAGGCTATCATGGACTGACTGTGAGAAATTTGAAGGGAATGAAATAAAATGTATCCATAAAGGTTCATTTAAAAAAAAAAAAAAAAAACAAGGATATTTGATTATTATTCCCATGTTCTGTTTAGGTCTTCTTAAAATGAATCGTGCCATTTGCAATCCAATTTTCAACTCCATCAGCTTCAGGTGAATTGCAATGTTATAGGTCAGCCATATTTGGTTTAGATAAAGTAAAAAGCGAGATTTTCATACCTTTTTTTATCTTGTTTCTAGTTAAAAAATCAAGCTCTATTTAGCAAGAAACATTTTCAAGACAAATATAAATGATGGTCTCATTTTCAGGGTCAAAATTGTAAGTTATTCCTTTTAGAGCATGCAACGTGATCTTGTTTTTAGATTATTTTGCTCACACCGGCAGATTGCGCTGCTTGTTTTAAGGAAATACTTCATTATGACTGTCTTGTTTTCAGTAAACATAGAAAGAGCTTCTTGATTGAAATTTTTTTTAGCTAGAAACACTTTAAAAAATGCATGAAAATTATTACTTTGCCACAAAAAATAAAAGAAAAGAAAAAAAACTCTAATAAACTGTAATACAGTGTTTCTGCTTGTTTTGAAAGATCTGACTCAGGGATTGTTTCAAAAAACATGACACCCTTTTTAAAAATGAAACATTTTTAGGATCCGTTACACAAACAAGCCACACATCTTTTAATTTCATCATTTTTTCTGGCAACAAATCAATAACTGAATCTGACAAATCTTTCTTGAAGTGTATGAATCACCTACTAATCTAAAACATGAACCATTATTACTGCCTCATTTAGCTCTACACCAGGCACATACAGTTACATCACCAATCTGTTATTTAACCTTCCAGCAGCTCTCTCGCTGTTCCTGTTTGTGACTTCAATGCATAAAGAAAAATGTTTCACCTCTCCGCTACCTCACTTCCTCACTCCAGAGCCGGTTTCCTGAAAGTCGATACAATATTTCCACAGCCTGTTTCTTAATAATAAATAACAGCACAACGCTGCAAGTGTTTCATAAAACCCTTTATTTCCTTAAATACCGAAGACAAGACATTCATGTAGTATGGCGTACGTGTGCAGTTTGAAAGCTCAGGTTGTTCAACAGTGGCCTTTTATAAATATTTGCACATAGGAACTCTATTAAATGAAAGCACATTCAATGGGCCACTTTACAGGCAGCAGCAGCATTCTTCTCTACTATATTCCGAGACCAGTTAAACATGTAACAGCTATATACAGGAATATAACAAACAACCTGACTCCTTACAGTAGTTTTACACACTCCTGGTTGTAATTACTTGCTTATTTTACATTAAACTTTGGAGAACTTGAAGCTCAAGTAAAGTGTATTTTACAGAACACACATATAAAGACAAGCTACAAACCAAATTAGAAAAAGATCCAAAACCCCAAAAAATTAGAATTTGATGAAAACGGGAAGATACACAACCTGACTAAAGTCTTGTCCTCGATCTCAGTTGTAGAAGCAACAATTAATAACTTGACTTCTAGTTGATCATTTGGAAAAGTGGCAGGTCAATTTTTCTGATGAATCATCTGTTGAACTGCATCTTAATGATCTTAAATACTGCAGAAGACCTACTTGAACCTGCATGGACCCAAGATTCTTGTAGAATTCAGTCAAGTTTGGTGAAGGAAAAATCATGGTTTGGGGTTACATTCAGGATTTGGGGTGTGCAAGAGATCTGCAGAGTAGATGGCAACATCAACAGCCTGAGGTATCAAGACATTTGTGCTGCTCATTACAGTACGAACCACAGGAGAGGGCAAATTCTTCAGCAGGATAGTGCTCCTCATACTTCAGCATCCACATCCAAGTTCCTGAAAGCAAAGAAGGCTATGGTGCTCCAGAATTAGCCAGCCCAGTCACCAGGTATAAACATTATTGAGCATGTCTAAGGGTAAGATGGAGGAGGCATTGAAAATGAATCTAAAGAATCTTGATGAACTCTGGGAGTCCTGCATAAACGCTTTCTTTGCCATTCCAGAGGACTTTATTATTAAGTTATCTGAGTCACTGTAGAGATGTATGGATGTAGTCCTCCAAGCTCATGGGAGTCACACACAATATTAGTTCTGTTTCCACTGCACCTTTATATTCTATACTGTACATTATTTCTGTTAACTGACAAGACTTTTGGCTAAGCAAAGTCAGACCTTATGGTCTTAATTAATCAAAAATCAAGACGATCAAATGGGGTATGTGCCGAAGCATGCTAATAGGACTTTTAATTTGCCATTAACCTGGGTTAAGCGCTTCCGGCGAATTGAATGGCAATGCAAAATCCAGTGCGTTAAAGGTCTGTTTTCTTTAAAAATCAGTGATCTCCACTATCTGAGTGATATCCGATTGTACAAGAAGCACTGCATTAAATTACATTCCCCCCGCCATATCTTTATAATATGAGCATTTATTTTATCCCAGTATATTCAATGGAGCTTCTGTGTTAGCCTGCCGATTCTGACTGGTGCGTGCGAGTAAACGGCTTTTTGTCTCGTTTTACGCTTGAGCAACTAAATAAATGTTAAAGTTTATTTAACTGAATGTATTTTAATGACAATACAACATCGATGCTTAATAAGGAACCGTATAAAATGAGAAAAAGTTCACAATAACAGGTATATATACAGGCTCGGCATATACCCTATTCTATTTTGGTAAAATCAGCATAATCTAGAGGCTTTAGCCCTTTATATAAGCCACTTCTGATACCAAATGATCAACTAGAAGTCAAGTTATTATTTGTTGTTCGTAAAACTTAGATAGGCAACAAGACTTTAGTCAGGTAGTGTAGTAGTTTGAAAACTTGGTCACACTTTACAGTAAGGTTTCATTAGGTAAATCCTTAACTAATGTGAACTAATACAATGTTTAGTAATCAAAGTTCAACATTTTCTAATGCATTATTAACATCCAAATTCATGCTTGTTAGAATTAGCTAATGAACTGTGTAACAATGAACTAGGCATGGGACGATAACCGTTTTCAAGTTTGGAAAAGTCAAGGTTTAAAAAGAATTTTCTGTAAAACTATTCCTAAGATACATGTTTTTTTATTCACTTTTTTGTTTTTTAGGACAGCAGTATCTGCAGCAGAAAAGATATCTGAAGATGTCATTTCACAATGTAAAGAAATCAGTGTTTTTTGGATCTAATAAAGACGGCACAAGTTAATAACTCATTTGAATTATTTAGTCTGACATGTTTACTGCTCCAAATTATTTTAAAAGTTTTTAAAATAAAATCTTTTGAGTTTAAAAGGGAAACAAGTTTTTGTTTTTTACTCAGACATTTAAAAAGAATATGTTTTAGAGCAGTCATTACAATACTGTGATACTGTGATATTTTTATCCAAGGTTATCATAGTCAGAATCTTATACTGGCCCATGCCTACAATGAACAACTGTATAACTGTACAAGAACACCATTAAAGTCAGTTGAATGGTCTGTTGGAGTCAAAATGACACCTATCGAGGGATCAACAATGCTATCTGTCTAGGGCAAATAGCCCTAGTCTACTCACGCTCATGCCATCAGGCAAGCATTAGTGAAGCCTAAGGATCAAATCAGCGCAGTTTCGTGAAAAGTTTCGTTTTTATCCAGTCATTAGAAGACTTAAATACGACCATATTTTAAATATTATTGAGTAGCTAGTATGTAATTTTAAATTAATAAATAGTTAAATTAGAATAAGATGTTAATATTATAACTAGAAAAGTAAAGGTCAGAGACAAACTTTATAGTGGCTTGAGAATGTATGCCAATAGCAGTTTTCATAATGGAAGTGAATGGAACAGTTGCTAGGGTGCCGTAAGTGGTTGCTAGAGTATGACTAGTAAGTTGAAAGGTCAGTGATTGGCAGATTCGAAGTCTGAGTTAAATGAGCCCAACCTTAAGTCTGTATGACAATCTGGCGCAAAGATATGAAGTCATAAAGTTTGGTTCAATGTTAAGTCAATGGGACTTTAAGATTTTCCAGATCAGTTTTCGGTAAACCGTAAGTCGGATCAGTTGGAAAAGATATAGAAACTCAAGTCAGTCCAGTTTGGAGGCTTGTAGTAAGTTTGGTGGTTGTAGTATGAACGATCTAGGAGGAGATGAATAAGAAATGAGTCTCAGAAGAAGAAGTTTATATAGTATAACAGTATGTTGGCTTTCTCAAGCCATCATGATTATAAAAGCAAACTCTGCAATAGTTATTAAAGTACTCATTTATTCCCTTCTGTGATTTAAAAAAAAATTAGGTTACATTATAATTATAAAAAAAATGATAAAGGCTTATTTATTATGTTAGGTTTTATGGTGTTTGATGTTTAAGTTCTTGTTGGGTCTGATGCAACGTAATTTAGTTCTGCATTATAATTTATTGTGATGTTTTGAATGAAAAAAATAAAGCAAACTGAAATTGATTTTCTTGAACTAACATGAAGAAACACTGTAATAAATGTAATGTTGATTGTTTAGTCATGTTAGTAAATGCTTTAACTAATACAACCTTATTGTAAAGTGTTACCAAAACTTGAAACCAATAATGATTCATTTGGATTTTAAATGATTCAGCTTTTCATAAGAGTATACTTACAGTGACATTTACTAATAATTTAGTGCAAATAATTAAAAAAGAGCCATGAAACAAAACAATGAAACCTTATTTTAAATAATATATACCCTTAATCTGGGAACATTCACCGCAAGTTTTGTATATATTTAGTGAAAATGTGTGTTCAGCGTCTCATTCTTGAAGATCATATCTTTTAGGAAAGGTCAGGGCTCTATAATAAAGTCATTTTCTAAGTTCTGGGCAAACAGTGGAGGATTGTGTGTGTTTTTGTGTAACAGTTTAAAGGCTTGAGATCTCTCCTGACACACACAGCTGCACACAGCTCTCTGAAGGACAACACTGGCTGTTTTGTATTTCCTCAAAGAGTGCTGTCTGTTAGGAAACTGTGTTTCTGTCATTTGCCCTAAAGCTTTGACCATTGACCTCAGGCTGTTCTGAATCCCACATGTATGTGACCTGTACAGTATAAACACCAGCGATCTCGCTCCATCAGCAACACCTTCACCTGTTCAGCTGCGTATCATACCTGCACGACAACAATAGAAAACAAGGAATCAGATGCATGGGGAACTCTTTAAAGAGATAGTTCAGAAAAAAGGGAACATTCTGACATCATTTACACAAAAGAAAATATGTTGAAGAAAGCTGGAAACCTGGAAGTCTTGACATCCATAGTATTTGTTTTTCAAGTCAATTACAGGTTTTCAGCATTCTTCAAATCATCTTCTTTTGTATTCAAAAGTGTAAAGAAACTCATAAATGTTTGAAACAAGAGGAGGGAGATTAAATGATGAAGTGATTTCCAATTTTGGGTGAACTATCTCTTTACGTAAATTATTTACAGAACAGTGTTATAACCAACTTTTATAACTGGCAAGCAATATAATAACGAATAATTAAACTTCACTGTATTATTAAAAATGAAAAAATATTGGCTTTATTCATATTTATTCTTATTCATTCATTCATTTTCTTTTTCATCTTAGTCCCTTTACTTATCTGGGTTCGCCACATAGGAATGAATTGCCAACTAATCCAGCATATGTTTTTCGCAGCAGATGCCCTTCCAGCTGCACTGGAAAACACCCATACACTCTCATTCACACTCATACACTACAGACAATTTAGCTTACCCAATTCACCTATAGCGCATGTCTTTGGACTTGTGGGAGACACTGGAGCACCCGGAGGAAACCCACACAAACACTTGGAGAACATGCAAACTCCACACAGAAATGCCAACTGGCCCAGCCAAGCTTGTACCAGCGACCTTTTTGCTGTGAGGCGACATCGCTACCCACTGTGCCACCGCAGAACATAGCTGTATATAATATAAATATATAATGCTTTTGACCAGCAGGTGTTCTTAGAATTTGGTGTTTTGTACACTTTGAACCAGTAAATAATTTTGTTAAGCAATCAGTTCTGTTGTTTTGAGGTTTTGGAAAGCTTTGTTTCTCCCACACATTTCTTTTACGAGTTTAAGAGATAACAGAAAATCATGGAAAGCCTAGTTGAGGGTGAGTAAATCATTTTCATTTTCAGTGAACCAACCTTTTCCCTCACTCACTCACATTCCTTTGGCTTATTAAATGCTTTATCAGGGGTTGCCACAGAGGAATGAACCTCCAATTACTCTGGCAAATGTTTTATGCAGCGGATGCTCTTCCAGTCACAACCCAGCACTGAGCGGACACTAAGTCGTAAATCCCCAGTGCATGGAAACATTCACACACTTCCATTCACACATTAAAGCCAATTTAGTTTCTCCAGTTCACCTACACCACATAGGGTCTGTAGCACCCTGAGGGAAAGCACAGGGAGAACCTGCAAACTTCACACAGAAATGACCCTACCAACCCTTAAATATCAAAACAACTGATTGCAAATTTTAGTGAATGCAACCTTACAGTAAAGTGTTATTTTTAAATATTTCACCTCTATAAGTTGAGATTTCAGTCACAGTTAAAGTCAGAATTATTAGCCCTCCTGAATTATTAGCTAATAATTTTGTCTTCAACTGCACATATATATATATAGTGTGTGATGGCGGTGTGGCCACTCACTCTCTGATGCAGTCTGGGATTTGCAGCTGCTCCACAGGAACAAACTCTGCCAGTTCCTGCAGGCTGTGGATGAAGCGCATCTTCCTGCTGAACTTCTCACTGCCACAGAGAGATAGAGAGAGAGAGAAAGAGAGAGAGACAGAGAATGTGAACTTCAAAAAGCCTTCATAACAAAAAAAACAACAAAAATGTTCAGTCAATCAGCACAGTGTCGACCAAGTAACACCAAAAAAACAATCCTAAAACAAGAGATTTGTGCTGACCTGATGAAGGGTTTGATGACAGTGATGAGCGCTCTAACATACCAGGCCGGATGAACCACAAACAGCCCTTTCAGATCTTTCCTTAACCTGTAGAGGATTCACAGAAAGCTAAATCAGTCTGAAGCATCACATGCACACAACAACATTTAGTTTCAGATATCTGGTTTGGAGTCAGCTTCTCTGGATTGATGATGACACACAAGAGCAATCGCTGACTGGCACAGCACCACCCTGACCCGTTTGAAGCCATGAGGGCGTTGAATCATGGGACACGGACAGACTTGGAGTTGAAGAAGATTTGTTTAAACACTTCCTAGTCAAAAATGCTTTATAGTTTTTTTAAGGAATGGTAATGCTTAAAGACATTACACTTAATGCTATACAAAAGATAAGATTGAGTGTGTAGTGTTAATATCATCACAATAATACTCTTAATAATATCATAAGTTAATAAAACTATCATCTTTAAACATTTAGGAAGGATCCCCAATACATCTTATGCTAATATGTAAACAAAAATGACACAAGCTGACATCTCAAAATCTCTCAAACTCACTTAATAAATAAATATTTTGATTGATTTTGATTTTATTTTTTGATTTATTTATTTTGACTTTTTTTTTTCTTCAAATAAAATTAAAATTAAAGTGCCTTAGTGCAATCTCAAGGTTTCAGAGCAGTCTGTGTGTTTCTATGAACATTATGCTGAAAGAAATCTGAAAGAGCGGATCTCAGGGGTTTTCCTGTAGATTGAGCGACATTCACACAGACTTCTGTCAGTTATTTCTCCTCTTTGCTTCAGTGAAGTCATGCCTGACACTGTTTGTTTGTGTTGTTGTCTGTTGCTGTCTGTAGAGTCAGCAGTGTATGACTGTCTGCGGAGGAAACTTCACTGCATGACGCAATGGAGAAAAACAGGAATGACAAATCAGGCCTTTCAAGAGCATCCCGCACTCCTTCAGTTCCACATTTCCTAAACCGATCTCACATGATAAGCTGACCTTGAATTCCCCGAGCGCACAAACACTTTTATGAGAATGGCCTTCACCTCAATGTGAGAAGAAGACACTTCCATTTAATATGATTTTCCATTGGTTCTTCAATCATAATAGTAATAATAATAATAATAATAAAACTTTTAAGATCCCGATCACTGCCGGATTTGTTTTGGAGTAATGGTAATAATGACTACATTTGCTATCCTTTACACAATTGAAAATGTCTACATAAACACACTGTGATTTACATTTTTTAAAGATAACTTTTTCGTCTATTACAGCCGCGTTGGCCTTGGAGAGTTATGATAAACCTCAAGAAACTAATTCCCATTGAAGTATGCAATCTATAACTGTCTAAATATAGCAAGAACAACAGAAAAACATGACAGCTGAGAGCAGGTCAGAGGTTATCTGAGGAATGTCTGATAACAAGGCACTCTATGAACAAGTCCGCAGCATTCCTATCGTATTTCATACGAGGGGCATTAAGAAAGAGAGTAGAGGTGGTGCTCATGTCCAAAAGGAACTAAAGATAAGGGAGAGCAACACAGAGCTTAAACACAGACGCCCTCTTCTGGAACTGATGGAAATTTACACTGCAGACTGTGTGTGTTATTATAAAAACACCATTATTACGACATATTCTTCATTCATTTTCCATTGGCTTAATCACTATATTAATCAGGGGTCACCACAGTGGAATGAACTGTCAACTTATCCAGCATATGTTTTACACAGCGGATGCCATTTCAGCTGCAACCCAGTACTAGGAAACATCCATACACACTCATTCACACACATACATTGTGGCCTATTTAGTTTATTCAATTCTCCTGTACCGCATGTTTTTGGACTATGGGGGAAACCAGAGCACCCGGAGCAATTGACCCAGCTAGGAATCGAACCAGCGACCTTCTTGCTGTGAGGTGACAGTGCTAACCAATGAGCCACTGTGTGTGACATATTATTAGTTTAAAACCAGTTTTCTCTTTGAACTTAATTAGTACAAAACTGACTAGATTTTACACGTGTATTGATTGCTATTTTGAACTCTCTCAAAAAAGCCTGAAAATAATGAAATATATAACATTTAAATTAGTGCTGGGCAAAAACTTGTCTCATTAAAGATGCATCAAGTAACATCTCATCCGATATAAAAGTTTGTTTTGACATAATTAAAGTGTGAGTGTGTGCTACTGTGTATATTTATTATGTATTTATTAATACATACATGCATGCAAATATTTGAGAAAATGTTTAATTATATTTAGATATAAAATATGTATGTATATTATACTAATTATATATTATTCTGAATTGTTTTGTATAATTTTGTTTCTATGCATGCGTGTGTATAACATATACATAATTAATATATTTAATACACACATCTTTTATTTTGTATGTGATTAATCACGATTAATCTTTGCCCAGGACTGATTTAAATATTTTGTTTCTATATATATAACCATAAACTTTTTAATTGTTGTTTTTATTGTTTATTTGAATTGTGTTTTTGTTTCGTTATTGATTTAATTTGGTTGTGCTGTTCACAATGCTTCATGGGATTGTAGTCATTTCCCTCAATGAAGCAGTTAAGAACAATCTTTTGTCTAACTTTCATATACTTCATTGCATCATATCAAAGTTTGTGATATTATTAATCTTGCAGCTAACAACACTTTCACAAAGTTTAATTAAGTTCAGTTTCATTTATTCATCCATTTTCCTTAGACTTAGCCCCTTATTTATCAGGGGTTGTCCTTCCTGCTGCAACCCAGTACTGGGAAAAACCATTACACTCTCACACTCAGTCACACACATACACTATGGCCAATTTAGTTAATTTATTTAACTATACTGCATGTCTTTGGACTGTGGGGGAAACCGGAGCACGTGGAGGATACCCACGCGAAACATGCAAACTCCACATGGAAATGCCAACTGGCTTGAACCGGTGACCTTCTTGCTGTGAGGTGACAGTGCTACCCACTGAGCCACTGTGCCACCCTGAGCTTAGTTTAGTAACATTAAATCAAATTAAATATATAAATTAAATGATTACTGTAATAATTATTATTTATAAATTAAGTTAAATATTATACAAAAACAGAATTAGTGCAGCTACAAAAGTACTACAGCAGTGGTAACAACAGCAAAAAGCTGTTTAAAATAAAATAAATGATTCAAATAAATAATAAAATCAAATAAAATTCTACAGGCTGTCTCAAAAGTAAATATTTGAACATAAAGACAATTCCCCATAAACAATTACATTCTGTTGATTCCAAAGGCACAGCATGTAATTTTCACCACTAGAGGGCACAAATAAAAATGTAGTTTGAGAAGTCAGTGACAGAATGTGGAATCATGCATTTAAACTTTCTCCACCAATCATTTCTGTTGACCACAACGTAAAGAAATTTAATACTGACCAATAATATCACTATTTGGGCGGGCACGGTGGCTCAGTAGAAAGCATTTTCACCTCACAGCTTGAGGGTCGCTGGATAAAGTCCCGGCTGGGTCAGTTGGCATTTCTGTGTAGAGTTTGCATGTTCTCCATGTGTTTGCGTGGGTTTCCTCCAAGTGCTCCAATTTCCCCCAAAGTCCAAAGACATGCGCTATAGGTGAATTGGATTGACTAAATTGGTCATAGTGTATGAAGGGACGGACTGGGCTAAAATACAGCCCTGGCACAGTAGCCACACCAGCCCACATTATCACATCGACAAAGCCCCACCAACGGACACACACATTCACTACTTATATTGGTGTACAGATGGGGCAATTATATAAGCAGTACCATATATAATAGATATTTAAACATTTAATGTATGTGACTGGAGCAAAGTTAATTTTATGCTTTTGGCAGCGTCTGTTTTTAGAGCCCTTATTTGCTTTCTCTGAGCTTTTTGGCACTATCTCTGACAATTAGCACTTATTTTGTTTGACATTCTTGCCAGATTCTAATTACGTCCGCGTAACCTCAGATTGGGTCGGTCCATCTCAAAACCAGCCAGCCGTCATGGTTTAGGCCAAATGCTTAACATTTAATATTATTATTATTACTATTATCATCATCATCATCATATTCACATTTTGCAAGAGATAAAATCTGCCAGCATGTAAAAACAATACATATATAAAAAAAAAAAACTGAACGGCCCACATTTAAAAAATGGTCCGGCCCTTCTGCCATTTGCCAGAATTGCCAGATGGCCAATCCGCCCTTCTGTATGAGTGTGTGTGTGTGTTTGTGAAGGTGTTTCCCAGTACTGGGTAGTAACCAGAAGGACATCCGCTGCCTAAAACATATACCGGAATAGTTGGTGGTTCATTCCGCTGTGGTGACCCCTGATAAATAAGGGACTGAGCCAAATTAAAATGAATGAATAGCACTAAATAAAAATAGACATCAGATCCAAGAGAATAAAATCTCACCATGGATATTTTGCATTTCCCAGATATGTTTGTTTATCATTGTCTTTGAGCATGAAACTGTTAATAGGCTCATAAATCACATAACCTTTAGTACGACTCACCTTCTGTCAATGGACATGTAACACTGTCGCAGCCACTTAATGCCAGGCATCTTATTGCGAGGAGCCATTCCACACAGATACACCAAAATGTAATTCTCAGACACCATCAAGTCCAGTGTGCCAATGATGTACCTAAACCCAAAGAAACCATAAATAAGCATTTACCCAAAAATGAACAATCTCCAATTAATATCTGCAGAGAAACCCATTTTACCTGAACAGGTTGTCCATCACATACTCATAGTGTTCTGTTGTGTTTTCTGGAAGGTAGCAGGAGGTAAACATGATGATGGCCGTCGATCCGTCTCCATAGTACCCTACAAAAGATGGTCAAGTTTAGTGTGTAATTCTCCGCAATTTAAGCTAAATTTAAGCTAAAACTCACCTCCGTGTGAGAGTACTTGGAGGTATGGCTCCAAAACACTCATGTTGACTTGATAGTCTTGTCCGCCAATATGGAAATGCCTCCATCGTCGGCCATAATCGTCTACTTGATCCAACTCCAAGTGTCCCATCTCTGCGTGCTCTAATAAACTGGGTTTTCTGATCGATGCTTTACCCATGCGTGGAAGATCATCTGCAATGGCCACAGTAAGGCAGTGATTCAATGGTTTCCTCAAGGAAATTATAAATATTTTGAGCAATAGGCAATTGATCAAAATAAATGATCCAATAGCCTAGTGCAGGAGTGTTCAAACTCAGTCCTGGAGGGCCGCTGTCCTGCAGATTTTAGCTCCAACTTGCCTCAACAGTCAACATACCTCCAAGAATATTTATAGAAAGCCTAGTAAGAGCTTTATTAGCCAGCCCAGGTGTGTCTGATTGGGGTTGGAAATAAACTTTGCAGGACACCGACCCTCTAGGACCAAGTTTGGACATCCCTGGCCTAGTGGTTAAGTGCGCCGACATATTGCAACATGGTGCTCACAGTGATCTGAGTTTTATTCCCGGCTCGAGTTCTTTTGCTAACCCTTTCCCTCTCTCTGCTCCCAAATATTTCCTGTCAATTCTCTGCTCTATTCTATCCATTAAAGGTTAAAACAACCTAAAATAATTATAAATTAATAAATAAATGATCTTAAAGTCTGCATGAACTGGAAGCTGGGATCATTTTTTTCTCCTTATTGTGACGCAGGTCCTAGAGAAATGGAATGTAAATGAGAAAACAGTGGGCGTGGCTTGTTTGTTCTACTGCAAGCTGATTGGATGCAGCAAAGTAGGCATTTCATTCAGAAATATCAGGAAAGGAAAGATCTCTCAGAAATATTCTGCACTATTAGACTATTACAACTCTTCACTGGGATCACTTGAAAATGTGTGGCGAAGAGATTTGGAATACAATTTTATTGAGGATCAGTGGGAGATTGCATCTGACCTCACTTTATTTGAACAAAACATACCGCAATGTACCATCCAGGTGTCAGATGTAAAACCTATTCAGGATCAATCATGCATAGTTTTGGGAATGCAAAACGCTAAGAGTTTTCTGGAAAATAGTACCGGACTTCACAGCCACTGCTTTGCAAACTCCAACACACAAGACTATACCTCTTTGGTACGTAATTGAATAAGACACTTGATTGGCATCATTTCCTAATCTGACAAAAAATGCATTTTGCTCTACTGGAACCAACAACAGCCTCCAACATTTGAACTATTCATACAACTCTTGAGTGAAACAATGCAATTGAAATTATGAACATACATACTACCTAAGAATCAAAGGGAATGTCTTTCAAAAAATATAGATGCCTCTAATGAACCTCTGACTCTCTGACCACCTCTGATGTATTTTCATAATAGGTTTTTAACCAATCACAGCAGAACTTTATTCATTTATTAGGTTTTTTGTATTCTCTATTGTTTTATGACTTTTGTTACCACTCTTGTGTTTATTGCTATCCTTGTTTAAAATGTCCTTTTTTGTTTTGTTTGTATGCTCATTAAAACCAATAAGCAAGAAATAGTAAATAAAAAGAAATTCACAGAATTTCAACCTAACAGACACCGCCTCCTCACCATTTCTGTTTGTTGTCAAAACTGACAGTTGGAGGGGCGTGGCTAATTATCTTAGCCATGGCCAATACATCAGACAAACATAGGTCCCTATCATAAACCCTGTGCAAAAAGGGGCAAGATGCTTTTGCCGCAATTTGTTGCTATTTTCAGACCAGTGCAACCTAATTTTCATGTTTTGCAACACAATGTTTAAATAGCAAATCCAATTCAGTTTATTTATGAAATTTGCTTTTGTATAATTTTATTATTATTATTAGCAGTATTATATATTTTATGCATATTTATATTTGTTTTAATAAAAACAAGTTTAGATTTGTTCACCTGTCAGGTTTTTGAGATTTATGCATCACCATATGGGGCATAAGAATAAGACATGTGTTTGGATATAACTTTTTTGACCACACTTCGTTATTATTGTTCATTTATTAGTTTGCTGGAAATTAGAACTGAATTTAACACTTAACAAACAAAATTAAATATGTATGCTAAAGGGTGTCTTCAGTGGATAGTGAACAACACTTTTTCCTTATTCACGAAAGTAAAGGAGTAAAGAGTAAAGAGACTGAGAAAGTAAAGAGGCTGAATGGAGGAGACTCATTCTTTATCCTCGTGCTGCAGATGGTCTGTTTAACGGTTTTCCCGCTAGTGAAGCACTCAGTTTTTCCTCTTACAAAGTCTGCCATGTAAATAGCAACTGACTCTTAAAGGGAATGGGACGTGAGACTCTGACTGGTTTAATGCACGTTATTTTCAAAACACACCCATAACTCATTAAGAGAATAAGCACAACCCTGTTAGACCATACGACAGGGCACAGAGCGTAGTTTTCCGTCCTTAAAATAGCAAAAGTGGATTCACACATGCACTTAATGCCTTTGCATCGTGCGCTTTAGATATCGCGCCTAGATCATCAAAATAGAGCCTCTAATCTGAGAATTTAACTAAAAACAAACAGGAGGATTTCAAGTTTAGATTACAAGGGCAAAATATATTTTTTCTTATTGACATGCACTTGAATTGTTCACCACAAAACTAGCAATGTGTGCAAACAAAATCAATATGGTTAGTTTTTAATTAATTTGTACTTTAATACCTTCCCATTCCAAGTCATGCATGCTTTCTGGAAAGTTGTAGGACTCGCTATCTGAGGGCGTTTCTAAGGCCTCCAGGTTAATGTCCATGTCTAGGTCGTCATCAGGAGACGGTGAAAGGGCAGAAGCTTCAAACTCATCCGATTTCAGGCTCCGGTCAGTAGAGGTTTTATCCAGTGTTAGACTCAGAGTCGGTGCCACTAGTCGCTTCTTTCTGACTGTATTACCCGTAAGGGCCAGGCTGGTGGGAGGGACTAGAGAAAAAGAAGAAATGAAATGTATTTACTGTATATGGGTTGTTATATGTTGAATTGTAAATACAGTATATGTTGAAATGGGGCTTGAAGCATCAAAACAAATGATGGTATAAAAGCTTTAATTTTTTTTTTGCCTTGAGAAATAGTTATGCTTATTATAATGCATTTTACTATGATTTACAGAAGAAGTCTAGTATTATATAAAGTCACTTTTGTATATTTATTTTGCGGTGACACCGAAATACGATGACTGTTCAAAATCGCATATTTTCATACTTTATAATACGATAAAAACAGTGTGCAAACCAAGTAGTATGTCCGAATTCATAGTATTCTAAAATTAGTATGCAAGAAGTACCCGGATGACTTACTACTTCCGGTGAGATTCTAAAGTGTGTATCCCATGTAGTTATGCTATCCCATGATGCCCCATGAGAGAATTCAGGAATGAGAGTAAAGTGATGCAACTGACGCGGGTAGGTCACGTGATCATGACAAAATGACGAATGTAGTACATCTGAGTTCCAATCATACTGCTCACATTCATACTGTATAGAACGTACTTTTCTAATGGTTAAGTAGTATATTTAAATTTAAATGCCGTACCTACTAAGTAGTAGGCGATTTCGAACGCAGCCAATGTCTCTTCCCAAAAGTTTGTAGTCAGTAAGTTTTGAAAGATTTCTCTTTGGATAAAAGAGTCCGTTAACTGATTAATTGTAAATGAGAAAGTAATAAATAATGTTCTTCGGTAAGGACATTAAACTAACTAAAAGTAAAAAAATAAATAAATAATTTAAAAAATCTTTTATAATTGAAATTAATGCTGTTGTTTGTTCTTTAAATAATCTTGAAAAAATCCTTAACTCAAAATTTTACTTGACAACAGGCCAGGATAACAAATGTTTTATATTGTTGTAATTGAAAAACTCCTCTGAAGTTAAAACATCTGTATTGTGTTGTCTAAAAATAGTTCTGAATAAATCTGAATAAAAAATAAATCTGTAAGTCTGAAAAGCTTTTTGTTAGTTTACGCAAAAAACATTAAAAAATTGTAATTTTGAAGGAATATCATCAGCAGTTTTACAATTTAAAACTAAATTTCTGGATATGTAAATAGACTGACTGATATATAGATAATTAGATATTTTGACCAGTAATTAAATGGAGAAATGTGCTTACCAGGCTTTTTCCCCTCTGCTCCAGCACTTTCCTCTTCATCACCAGGACTATGTGTGTCCTCTGGAAGTGGTCTACCAAAATAACAATATTTAATCTCATTAGTACTGACTGACTGATTAGGTGAATGCATTTGTTAGCTCAGAATACCTTGGAAACTCCTCATCCTGCCATTCCTCCCGGAGTTCCATATCAGGGATGAAGTCTGATGTCCTGCTGTTTTCAGTGTGCCTGTGAGAATAAATAAAATAAATGTAAATCTCACATTTTCATATTAATTATTAGGAATTAATTTCCAGCCAGGACAACTTTTCAATATTTTGCAAACAAAATTAATTTTTTTTGTTCTAATTATACAACAGGTCACAACAAGATTAGTGTATGGAACATTTTAGAACTAGACATTTTCAAATTTTGCAATTGAATTGTTGAAAAAGACTGACTTAGCCTTTGAAATTCTATTTTTATGACTGATAATATTTGCACTCAAGTCTATCGTTTTTACCTCATGCAATGATTTTGGCAGCAAAATAAAACATTCAAAAGCATTATTTTTCTTTGCTAACCCCATTTACATTTAAATTGCAATTTATTTGTAAAATAAATCAGATTAGTTACTACGATTATTAGCATCAACCCACTAGTTGCACTGGTTCTGGGAGTATTTTTCACATATTTAAAAAAAAATAAATAAATAAAATACATTTATTTATATAGTTAGTTTTTTAGTTTATTATGTAGAATTATTGCAAATTTAGATAGATAGATAGATAGATAGATAGATAGATAGATAGATAGATAGATAGATAGATAGATAGATAGATAGATAGATAGATAGATAGATAGATAGATAGATAGATAGATAGATAGATAGATAGATAGATAGATAGATAGATAGATAGATAGATAGATAGATAGATAGATAGATAGATAGATAGATAGATAGATAGATAGATAGATAGATAGATAGATAGATAGATAGATAGATAGATAGATAGATAGATAGATAGATAGATAGATAGATAGATAGATAGATAGATAGATATTGTGGTAAACTGCACATAGAAACAGGGTTGTGCAAACCTGAAACCTCGCTAACGCCCAGCACATCGATCTTACCTGGACATATGTAAATAATGACAATGTAAACATACTGAACTCACCTTTTTTTACAAAACAAGTACGTCCAAAAAACTATCCGCTTCTTCGTTTACCAAAAGAATAAGTATTGCTTGAGTACATTACAACTTAAACTAAGCTGTTATTTGGTTAAACAGGCAACTGATGTATAACTTCGTTATAAACCTGTACTACGACAAGGGCGACTCTACCTCAGCAGAGCAAAGCACCTTCATACCATACACAGAGTTCAGCCAATCACAGTGCGCCTCACATGATGACGCATCCTCCGCACCTGAGAGAGCTTGTTCAACGCCCCGCCCACAACACTGCTGATGTACACGGCCAGTGTCAGCAGAAAAACAAAACAAAACAAAACATTTCTGTGCAGGATTAGCTTCATCGGCGTCAATAAAACATTATTAACAAGTCAGTTTAGCTTCCGGTAAAACTACCATCCTTCTCATTAGTTTAGTCATCAGATTAGAGCTCAATAGTAAACTGAGTGTACATAAAAGCTAGAAAACTCAAGTCTAATCTCTGTTAATCTTTTTGGTGGTGATCACAGGACTTTTCGTAAGAATGATTGATTTTTTTCAGTTGTAATAAGGTAGCCTATTCAAGTAGAAACATATTTAACATTTTTGTGTGTTACATCTCTTATTTAGTAATGTAAGTCCATTGTTGGACTCTGTATTGCCTTCAGATCTACCTCATTTTATTTTATTTTAGTGAGATGTGCAGCATACTGATGTTGATCCAGAGTGACACGAGTCAGCGAAAGAGTGAGCATTACACATTTTCTGATATCTATGATGTAAATCTTTTGTTCCAGCACACTGAACTGAGATCTAATGGAATTGTCGAGGTTTAAAAAAAACAAACCGATTGCGAGGATTTAAGCTTTGTGACCTTTTTCTTTACTCTGCTATAATTATCATTACAAGATGAGAAAACTGTGGTCATTAATAAATGTAAATCTTCAGCAACAATTTTCAGGTAGGCTCTGGCATGTAAATTATGCTGCAAATGTGCTCAAAGTTGTACCAAGAAAACATTCCCTCACCATTACATCTGCATTGTGAACCACTGAAGGCAGGATGAATCCATACTTTTGTTCATGGCAAATTTAGATCTGAACCTTCTAATAACGTGACATTAACCAATACTCATAAGACCAAGCTATTACTTTAAATATTAAATTGTCCAATTGCAAGCCCATGTAAACTAGCTTCAGAGCCTTGTTTTAGCTGATAGGAGTGCCAATGACGTTCTCTTCTTCTGCTGCTGTAGCTCATTTGTTTTAAGGTTGGACATGGATGTGTTGTGTGTTCACAGATGCTCCTCTGCGTTAGACTGCTAGTTTGAATCACAGTTGTCTTTTTATCAGCTTAAATTACTCTGCCTTTCTCTGACCTCTGTTATATTTTACTCACAACTTCTGCTTATTGCGTATTTTCTCTTTGTCAAACCATTAACTGTAAACCCTGGAGATAATTATTTGTAGATCCCAGTAGATCAGCAGTTTCTGAAATACATTCAATGTCACTTAAAATGCTAGTTCAATCAAAATGACAATTCTGTTATTAATTACTCACCAACCGTCATGCTGTTCCAATCACCTGAGAAATTTAATTCATCTTCAGAACATTAATTAAGACATTTTAGATAAAAACCCAGAGCTCCCTCATCCTAGACAGCAAAGGTCCCGAGATATTTAAAGTCCAGGAAAGGAACCAAAATCATTTCATGTGACTGTAATCAGAAAAAAACAACTGTAAATATGACTTTGTTCACCTATATCTTCTCTTCCACATCAGGTTGTCAGTGTGTCTGTTTACTATGGACAATATGACGTATTGCTATTATTGTCAGCAGCGCAACACACACGTGTCTTACTGCCCGTAGTAAATGCACACCCTGATCTGGTGGAAGATATTAGTGAACAGAGTCGTTTTAAAGTTTTTTTGTTTTTTTTGGAGCTTTATATGATTACAGGTGAAACACTGTGAAGTGATGTGATGTGATGTGGAACGATTTTTGTTCCTGTCCTGGCCTGTGAACATCTCTGGGCTATATTTGCAGGATGAGAGAGCTCTCTCATTTCATCTACAATATCTTAATTTGTGTTCTGAAGATGAACAAAGATCTCAGGGGATCTGAATGACATGAAGGTGAGAATACGAATAACAAAATTTTCATTTGTGTGAACTAACCTACTGAATATCCATTCAGATCTTTCTAGAGCACATCCCTAATGCACTGAGCTTCTGCCATGTGATTGGCTGATTAGATGTTTGTAATGAACAGTTGAACAGTGGCAGGTGACTGTACATCAGGGGTGTCCAAGTCCTGTCCTGTATAGCCACAGCCTTGCACAATTTAGCTTCGACCATATCTAAACACACCTGCAAAAACGAATTAAGTCTTTCAAGCTTGTTTGAAACTTAAAGGCAGGGTTGGAACTACTGTAAAATCTTCAGGGCTGTGGCTGAAAATTTGCAATTTTCAAATTTTGTGATTCACTTTCAATTTTGTGATTCATATTTTTATTTTTCCCTGTTTATTTATGCTTTTGGATTGCATTATAGGACATTGATCTTACTTTCAACAACTTTTAACCTTGAGAATTTTGAAAAAAGTGGCTTTTATTTAGATTTTTAAGTTTAAAATTATATATTCCCTGGGATGGTGTTACGGTAAGAGCTTGTAATAAACCGCCAGTACATTTTCTGTTGATTTATTTTTTTCTATATTATTTATTATACATCATGTAATTTCAAACTACTAAAATGTCAATAAAAGTCACTTTATTAAACTGTAGAGTTGAATTGTCAACATCAAAAGTCGACAGAGCAGAGATAAAGGTGCTTTAGTGCAATTCACAACTGTAAATAAATGGAAAACTTTTCTGACTTACAAAAGATAGAAACTGTTAGTTAACCGATATTTTTACAGTGTAGAAGGGATACAGATGCAGCGGAAGTTAAAATTTACATTGAATAAATTACCCATTAGTTGTACGTTATCGATGTGTAATCCCACCCCAAGCCTACCCCTCACAGCAATGTAAAAACAGTAATTATAACACAAATTTGTATTAATTTACCCAGTAAATTGTATTTTATTAATATCTACCTCCTACAGTGATGTAAAAACAGTAATTATAATGAAAAATGTTTATATTATTTTTTTAAATTACCCATTAAATTTTATTTTATTAATGCCTACCCCTACTCTAAACCCAACCCTATCCTAATGTAAAAACAGTAATTGTTGTACAGTAATTGTATTGTATTGTATTAACCCTCCTGTCATGCTCAACTCCAGCTCAACCCCTTACTTTAGTGTTCCTGGTCAAAATCGACCTGTTCATTTTCTTTGCTTTTAAATTAGCACAAAACAACATTCTTTAGCTGTGAACAATGTCACAAAGTAGCGTTTAACATGAATTTATAGAGTTAGACATAAAATAAGTGCAGTGGAAAGAGTTGGGGTGGTGTACAGTATATGGGGATGTTTTTTTTCTGATGAGTGAATATAATCTGGATAGATACCCATTCATTTCCTAAGGCAGTAAATTTTGGTAACACTCAAAATGTAATAAGAGAGGCGATTATTGCTTGTATATGTTCAAATGCATACAGTTGAAACCAGAAGTTTACATACACTCTAAAAAAAAGAACATAACCATTTAAAAAAAAATGTCTGACGGTAAATCATACTAAACATTTAATATCTTAGGTTCGTTAGGATTACCTAAATCATTTCCATTTGCTAAATGCCAGAATAATGAGTTTTTTTTTTTTGTTGAAAATTTTTAAAATAATTTCTGGACAGTTTAAAGTTTACATACATTTCCTAGTTGTTGTTTTTTTTAGCTTTGCTAACTGTATAACCTTTGTCAAATGTTTTGGGAATACTTCCACAAGCTTCTCACTATAGTTTGAAGGAATTTTGGCCCTTTCCTCCTGACAGAATTGATGTAACTGAGTCAGATTTGTAGGCTGTTTTGCTCGCACAAGCTTTTTTTTAACTCTGCCCACAAATTTTCTATAGGATTGAGATCATTTAACTAATCTGGCAGTATGCTTAGGGTCATGGTCTGTTTGGAAGACCCAATTGTGGCCAAGTTTTAATTTCCTGGCTGATGTCTTGAGATGTTGCTTCAGTATTTCTACAAAATGTTCTTTCTTCATGATTCCATCTATGCTGTGAAGTGGACCAGTCCCTCCTGCAGCAAAACAGCCCCACAACATGACGCTGCCGCCCCCATACTTCACAGTTGAGGTGGTGTTCCAAAGCTTGTAAGCTTTCCCCTTTGTCCTTCAAATGTAACACTGGTCATTATGGCCAAACAGTTCAAACTTAGTTCCATCAGAACACAGGACATTTCTCCAAAAATGTGTCTTTTTCCTCAGTGTAATTTAGCAAATTGTAATCTGGCTTTTTTTTTTTTTAATTCTGGCTTGTTGATTTTCCCATGTTGTCACACAAGAAAGCAGTGTGTTTGAGGTTTTCCTTAAATACTATTCTACAGTTGTGCCTCCAATTAACTCAAATGTTGTCAATTAGCCAATCAGAAACTTCTAAATCCTTGACATCATCATCTGAGCTTTTTCAGGGGCATAATAAAATTACTGTATGTAAACTTGACCTTCAAGAAAAGCTATAACAGTTTCTCAAAAACTGTAGTATAGAGAATATCATAAGGCCTTGAGGCAATCAGATGTAAAGCACAATATTCAAGACTGTTTGAAGCCGAAAACAACTGGAAGGTTAACTTATGGCTCCAGCTGTAACCCTTATAGAATTTATCGTGGCCTTCCAGAGATCCGGCTCCAATAGATGAATACTTCTGACTACCATAGTGTTGTGTGTATGTATATATCTATATCTATATATATATATATTGGGGATGTAACGGTATCAGAATTTCACGGTACGGTAATACCTCGGTATGAATGGCACGGTACAGTATTTATTGAATCATTTACAGGAAAAACAAAACTAATGAAAATACTCCAAAAAAGTGCCAAAAGTGTCAATGACATACAAATTAGCCATCTATCTGTAAGCTTTGAAACAGGAACTTCAACTTTTCAATTTTAATAACAAAAAATTTTGTTAGTATTGTTAAAAACTCATCACATTCAACATTTAATCACTCACTCACTCATTTAGATAGAGATGGATTTAAAGGAAAATTATCATATAAATATAATCTGGTAAAAGCTGGTATCTCTGGGCATTTACAATGTCCTCTGCAACAGAAAAAAACTCATTTAGGACTGAGGTTTCTGGGAAAGAGATATGACTTGGCCCAGGCTGACAGCAGTGGGTAACATTGTGCATTGTCTTTCCCCCACTTGAGAGAACAAGCCATGAGTGAGATAGAGGTCTCTTTGCGGTACAAGTCAATGTCTGCATCAATCTGAACAGTGTGCTGTGTTTCTGCAGTCCCCATAACTTTTATTAGTCGTATTCCCCAACTTGCAGGCACGTGCACACATAGGGCTCAACCTGTGCAGTGCACATGCTCTTTTTAGTCTTGGATAGAAAGTGCCCTTCCAAAATGATCAAAAGTGCCCCCGCAACACAACACACCCTCCGTCCCGACCTTCAGTAGGCGCGCGACAACACCGCTCTTGAGTATGCGCGCTCAACCCCCCGAAAACCGAAATGCTTCCACACATCCGATTTAAAACCCGCTTTAGTTTCGATCATTTCCAGCTCTTTTTCATCTCCTCTACTAGCAGCACACTCCATTTCCGCATTACTGGATCTGTAGCGACAACAGACCGCAAAGGATGATGGCCACGCCTGGGCTGATGGGAATTGTAGTTTCCGCTACCCCTCGTTCGCTTCAT